TACACCCCATATAAGAGTACCGACCTATTTGATATATTGTTAATGCGGACCATATGGAGTGTATAATTTTTCGATGCGAATTTAACGCATTTGTTTTCAAAGAAATATATTAAAAAGATGTGGATGTCTTTTATCACCTAGTGAATGGTCTAGGCCTAAATATCACACAATTGTTGTACTAGACTTAGGATTGTCATGTCCGTCTGTTGTAATAACTCTATCGTCTAAACGAATTGAGATAGATTGCAAAAATTTGCATAGAGTCCTCTTTTGTCTACATCCAGGTCCAGTTCGAAGATGGGCGATATCGGTTCATGTTTAGTCACAGCTCCCATATAAGGGTATCCCAAAATTTTCGGTATTTAGGGGTTCTTAAGCACGTTTTTCAACCGAATTCGCTGAAATTTGGTACATTATGTACCAAATATCTCTACTAAATATTTTAAATATTAGTCCATTTTTCTGTTGCCCCATATAACGCTAATTTTTAGTATTTTGGGTGTTTTGATTGCATTATTCGACCAAATTGGCTGTATTTTAGTACTATGAGTTCTTATACGGTAGCAAACCTCTCCACTAAAAATTATAAATATAGGTCAATTTTTTGGGTACCCCGAATTTTTGTAGTCGTATATTGTAACAAATCTCCTTCCCAAAAATTATTAATATTCGCCCCCTTTTTGGGGTTTCCCCCATATAACCCCCTTTTTATATATTATATTAAAAATATTAGCGGATTTGTTTCGTGTGTTGGGGTTGTCCCCATATGGGAGTATTCTACCATAGTATGGGCGATAGTCGTTACTCCAAATAGTCAGTTTTTACCCAACAAAGTATGGAATTCTAAGACGACTTAACCATCTCTTGTAATCATTCCGCCTTCTAAGGAAATCGTGATAAAAAAACTCGAACCTGACGATAGTGAAATATATCGGCCAACATTTAGGGATCTCTCCCATATAATGATACCTCCTGAAGGAAAGAATTGAGATACTAAACAAAGATATTGGGTTCGTAGTTGACATATATCGGCCATTAATTAGGCAATGCCATCATATTCTATCAATATTAGTTCCCCTTTGGGAATAGCATTTTCTTTAGGTATATAATTTAAATTGTAGTAGTTTGAGGATTTTATGATCGGTTTGTAGAATTATAGGTATAGGTCCACTTTTTTGTATGTTCCCTATATTTTCATTGCAAGTATGTCAGTATGCATATGGTGGAGGGTTGTTATCTCGAACTTCATTGAACCAACATCAATATATCTTCCATTTAAAGACTTTTGAGGCCCTATCGTTTTTACCGAATATTGCCCAGCTCCGTTTTGCTGTGTACAAAATTTCGCCGCCTTTTGAAATTCTTTACAGATCCCCCATGCAAGTTTCGTTTTTGTTGTATAAAAACAACCCTCTCTTGTTATTCGTTTACTTGTTTTTGTTGTTGTTTTTGCTTCTTCCTCTGAGCAAATGTCTGCCACCGTAGAGGAATGTGATGAGAATATGCCTTCCTTTTGCGGCTAATTTAATGGGAAAACATTTTCAAAGATGTTGATTCTGTTGTTGTTGGTGATTTCAGCAGCAACCATTTTTTTTAAAAAAATGGCTATAGGAGGAATTAATGTTTATGTAGTATGTATGTACATGAATGTATGTGCGTGTGTTTGCTGGCTAGTGTATGTTCAGTTGTAGAAATATTTATTATTTCATGTGAATTTGTATTACGGGCGGATCCCAAGCAAAGAAGATGCCTTTTGTTTTTTTGTCTGCTTTTGGGTTGATTTCAGTTGGGCAATGATGAGGATGATGATGATCATCATTATGTATCTCCTGTTTTATGGGCTGTTTCCAATTTTTTTATGACTATGTGAGTTTTTTTTTGTTAATTTTTTATTGTTCTTGTTCTTGTTTTTTCTTTATCTTGTTATTCAAAATGGCGTTTTGTTGAAATAAAAAATTCAAAGTTGTTTTTTTTAACAATTTAGTTTTTTGTTTATTTTTCTCGACTTCTTCTTCAGGTTTTTTTGTTTTGAATTTTTTTTTTTTTGAGTTCATAAAAAAGTGTATATACTAACAGTTTTAGGGGTCTAGAACTTATGTTTCACATGGTAAAACTTTGAACGGTTATAACTTGCTTAGTTTTAATAACACATAGAGCAGCCTAGTTTTGTTTTCTTGTTTTTCTTTTTTTACTATAAACATAAATATATATAAAAATAATAATAATAAAAATTTACTTAGAAGCTATAAATACTAGGAATTACATGGTAATTTTTTCATTTATAAAATATAACCTTAAAACTTAATGAGGGGGAGGTTGCTTTGGACTTAGATGCCTATTTACATCATGGTTGCAGGGGAGGAGGAGGAAGAGTTTTGGTTTTTGGTTGTATTAATACTAAATGGAAATGATAACAAGTGTTGCATTGTGCACCACACAATAGTTGCTTAACGCTGGAAGGCTTTGGAAGGATTTCTTGGCATCGATGCTATGTCGAAATTTACGATTTACTGTTCTGGGCATCACCCTCCATACGCCACACACCAAACAGATAACTTAATTTCTCTGGTGGAATCATGGGTGCCACAGCGGCCCTTCGTAGATTCTTGAGATCCGCCTCGGCATCATTGAGTATGGAAGCAGCGCCCATGGCATAGCCACCATTACCGGCATTGTTATCCAAAGCTTTGAGCAGGCCAATTTCACTGGTAGACAGCACACGACACAGGAAGTCAATATATCTGTAAAGGGAGAGGAAATGGAAATTAGTAATTTGTTTGGCAGGTAGAAAAATCACTCTTTGTTAATCAATGATAAAACCACAAAAATTCCAATACGAAGCCGGAAAAATTCTCTGGCGCAGTACAAAAACCCACAAAAATTACCACAAACAGAAGCAACAGCCCCAGGTAGCAGAGATCCCAAAAATCTGCGTAATTTTTATGGGTTTTTATTGAGTGGCCAAAACGGAAATGCCCTGTTCGGAAAATTTCCAATTTTTCTGATGGAATTTTCTTATCTTTTGGATTGGTTTAAATCTTATTAGCGAATAATGTGAGATTGAAAAATTCTGAAATAGTCTTCGATGCTTACCTTGTTGCCAATTTAAGTGTCTGGATTTTGCTGAGCTTATCACTTGGCAGTGTAGGTATGATCTGTTGCAGGGATTTGAAGGCATCGTTTAAACTTTGCGTCCTCTGTCGCTCGCGTACATTGGCCATAATGCGTTGAGTATGGAAATCCTCGGTATCCTCCGATTTGCTGGCCTTACGTTTGGTACGACGCCTGGGCTTGCGGAATTCCTTACTGCCATCGTTGGTATCACAACCGCCGGCACTTAGCTCATCCTCATTGGGGAACATATAACTACTGGCAGAGGCCATTTCATCACGATCTGAACTGGAATAGGTACTGCCATTCAGAGAACCCGTTGCCTCAAATTGTTCATAGCCACCTGTCGAGGGTAGTTGATGGCCGGCCGTATTATTGGAATGTATGGCAGGAACACTGTTACCACTGACACCGCCGTTTTGTGGCAGAACCATGCCCACCCTTTGGGTTTGTTGTTGGTGTAATTGTTCCTGTTGATGCAATTGTTGTTGGCGGAAAATGTGTTTGAAATTATCCTGGCTATTTTCAGCCATTTCCTCATCGGCAAATTCAAAATGTGGCGAACCATTGCAATTTTGTGTTTCCAGTTGGGCGCCATTTTGACCATTTGCAGGATTCACAGCACCATTTAGGGTGGAATTGACTTCATTCACAGTGGTGGGTAAATATTCCACAAAGAATTTCTGTTCATTGTGTTGGACATAATGGCCGGTCATATTATGTTGCTGTTGTTGTTGCTGCTGTTGGGCAGGATGGCCCAAGGGGCTAATGTGTAACTTCTTATTATCCTGCATAATATCACTGGGGCCACAATCAAATTCTCGACTACGTTTGCCATTTTCATTGATGTGATATTGTTGTTGTTGCTGCTGCTGTTCCGGATGGCCATAGTTGTTGTTCATTTCCGGAGAACCCAAATTATGGCTATTTGGTGTGGAACTGGCACTGTGGCTGCTGGTGGTACTTAAAATTTCACTACTTGGAATATTGTAGTCATTATCTTCATGATCGGGTACACCGGCACCACCATAGCTCATAAATTCATTGGCATGATATTGGCGACCACCACCATTTAATACCATATGTGGCAATTGACCCGTGGGCTGTTGCCCGTACATCTGTTGGGGATCCATATTTTGGGACATATTCTGATTGTGCATATAGGCTTGTTGGTCCACACTGATCAGCTTGATGACATTGTGTTGTAAATCCATTATATTTGGCAATGGTTTATAGCTAATGTCCAATAGAACTTTGGGGGATACGGGTCGCACGGACATTATTTTGTATTTATTTGCTTCGTCACTTGACCAATACGAATATTATTTTTTGTTTATATTTTCAACACGTGTTATTATTTTTTCACAAAATTCAATGTCTCTCTTACAACGAAAAAAAAAAAATAAAAACAGATTGTATATTTATTCCAATTAAATAATTATTTCAATATGTTTTTCTTTTTTTCAATATGGAACACGCTCATATAAATTGTTATCCGATCGTATGAAAGACTCAAACTCAACTGATGTTCAAATCCTTGCTGAAGTACGCAAAGTAGGAAGCAAACAAATGCTGTCATTCGTCTACAACAGATCACACAGGCCATCTCTTTCGCACAGCCAATGGCAAACGACGAGCCTACACACAGAAAGAGAGAGCAAGAACACACACACATAACTGTGTGTGTTACACCCTCTCCCAATGACATCATGCGAACGCACCACTACACTAATCACTCTCTTCCATCTGTGTGAATGGTTCTCTTTTGTTTACTTCACACAAATGTACACACACAGTTACACTCACTCAGCCATGGTGGCGAATCATAATGGCGTGTTTGGTTGGTTGCTTGCTGTTGTTGCTATTCTCCATCTATTACAGGTAGCCAAATTTCTGTTTAGTCTTCAACCGATCTTCATTGTTTGTAGATGATTTTAATTGCAATTAAAAGTGTCTGTCCGTCTGTCGGGCAAATTAAATTATCCTTGATTTGGATATTGGAATTTTGTGGATTTTCCGCGAAGTTATTTTCCCATGGATTTTTTGTCAAACCTTTGGAGGAAATTTGGAATGTTTTGTTTTGGTTGTGAAAAATAAATTTTTTTTGTGATGTTTTGAAATTATGTTCGTCAAAGAAGTTTCGAGAAAATCATTTATTAATAAAGTTAATAGCTAATATAATATTAATGGCATTATTTCGATAAATCAATAATATCGCATATATGAAAATAAATGTTGTGAAAATAATTATTTTTTTCCACAAGAATGTGGTTAATTTTTTTATAAATAAAGTGTTAAGAAGAGCTGGCACTGTTTGTCGGATATTTTGTTTCACACATTTATGTAATTTTTATAAAAAGAAATTCCAATTAAAAAGTGGGTTTCTGATATCATTGGGAATTTAAGTTGGGGCCTTATGAAATTTAGAAACATTTCATGTGTGATGACTCCTCACTTCAAAATTGTTCATTAGATGATAAGAATTTTTTCCTACACAACTATTTTTTTGCGGGACTAATTGACTTCTAAATAATATAATTTGCAACACATATAATACAAATAGTTTCTTAGATGTTGTTCTAAGGTCCGTCTGATCAATCAACGTCGACTCTTAATAATGTTTTTTAGTAAGGAGACATTAACCAATAAGCCTGTGTTTTTTGAAGATATATTATAGGGACCATTTGTGATTTTGTCAAAGACCATCATATTATTTTTCAATTTGCTTATATTTTATAAATATTTTTACAAATACCAACATATAAGTCAAAGATATTTTAGGTCGTCTATTTTGATTTTATTAGAAATTATATTGATTATCTCTCTTTGCTTTGTAATTATTATAAGAAATTAATTAAAATTTTAGTCAATCGAAACATATAAAAGACCGAATATTTGGAGTTTTCCTGTTTATTTTCCCGGAATTAGTTATTGGTTATGTGAATCACAAAAAAGAAAAAACAGTAAGGAAAGTAGTAAAGTCGGACTGGGCCGACCATATGATACCCTTCACCACTTTGGATATATTGTACATATGTATACTTACAATTGCATGTTAATGTTCCATGTCAAAATTTGATGGACCATTTACATTAAATCAGACGAAAATATATATGGGAGCTATATCTAAATCTGGACCGATTTTCAGGAAACTTAACACACATAATTCTAGACCTAATTCATTACGCTATACCAAAATTTCGTGCAAATAGGAAGATATATAGGGACCTTGGTGCACCATTTACATTAAATCGGACGAAAATATATATGGGAGCTATATCTAAATCTGGACCGATTTCAGGAAACTTAACACACATCATTTTACACCTAATTCAGTACACTATACCAAATTTCGTACAAATCGAAAGATATATAGGGTATTTGGTGGACCATTTACATTTAATCGGACGAAAATATATATGGGAGCTATATCTAAATCTGGACCGATTTTCAGGAAACTTAACACACATCATTCTAGACCTAATTGAGTACGCTGTGCCAAATTTCGTACAAATCGAAAAATATATAGGGACTTAAGTACAACATTTACAGAAAATCGGACGAAACTATATATGGGAGCTAAATTGGCACACATCATTCTGGAACTAATTCAGTACGCTATGCCAAATTTCGTAAAATCGAAACATATATAGGGACTTTGGTGTCCCATTTACCTTAAATCGGACGAAAATATATATGGGAGCTATATCTAAATCTGAACCGATTTTTCCCAATTTCAATAGGGTTCGTCCTTGGGCCAAATAGGTGAGCTGGGCCAATTCCGATAAAATATGCGACCTGTACTTTGTTTACAATTTAACATGGACAGACAGACGGACGGACATGCATTATTCAACTTAAATAGTGATTCTATGCATATTCTCAAAAGGAACCATGTGTCTATCTCGTTTCCTTTTGCCTGTTTCAAACATATGCACAAAGACATAATACCCTTTACCACAGTGTGGTAAAGGGTATAATTAAAATCTGTTTCTAAAAATTTTAAAAACTCACTTGAATTTATTTGTATCGGATTATTGACAATTTAGATGTTAGTCTACAAGAAATTGTATTTTGTCTATTCGTTCGGCTGGATGTGCAAGACATGAGACTAAATTTAGTTCAGAACTGGCTATTCTACTATGTTTAAAAATATTCTTTTAACAACATCCCTTTTATTTTCTTCCGATTTCTATTTCTAAATCCGTTTAAATATATTTTATTATATTTTTCAATTATATATATTTTTATTTATTTATTTTTTTTTTTTTTGATTAGAGTAATATTTTCATACATAATCTTATAAAAGGCATCTAGTTTCAGTTTTCAAATGTGTGTAAAAATAATGTTACGTTGCAGCAAACATTTTTATACCCTCCTCCATGAGAATGTCAATCAACATATCTAAAATTAATGGGGGCTCTTAGATGAAAACTCATATTATGATAGGTCCTTGAATATACCGAAAAATTCATGAAAAACAGATGATTGAACTGCTGAATTATCTAATAGTGGGGCTATTGTTATATGTGGCTATAATAAAGCGGAGATCAATATTGATATTTTTGGCATTCAAATACCAAATTACAGTCAAATTCCTAGAATGTTGAATAATGGGGGATCTTAATATTAATAGCTTTTGGTACGGAGATGTTCTATACAATGAGAATCCAAAATATCAAATTACAGCTAACTCGGTTGAAATACCTGTCCAAATACCGAATATTTGGGAGTAGCGTTATATGGGGGCTACCCTGAAACTTGGGTCAATATTAATAATTTTTGATATACAAGGAGAACCCAAAATGCCAAACTACAGCCAATTCGGACGAAAATATATATTACAACCATATATATTTTCGTTCTTTTTTTGCCCAAATGAAGCCTGTCTGATAGACACGAAATTTTGCACAAAGTACTGAATTAATTCTTTAATGATAGGATTCAGGTTTGCGTGACTCTGTTCAGATTTAGATATAGCTACTATATCCGTCCGCTTTGATATAGCTCCCATATATATTTTCATCCAGTTTCAAATGACACGAATTATGTCTAGATTGGTGTCCACATGTAAATGTAAAAGGGTCCGATTTTACGTTGTCATTTAATATGGCCGGGCCAATCAGTCAATCGTGCGCACCAACCAGATGGACATATGTAAATGGACTCAAAATTGTCTGAATCGGATTTAGTCCAAAGAAACATCGATCGATTAGGTACATTTTTGACGTAGCAAAGTATATATACCCTCATTAGCCATAATGCTGAGGCTTATTTAATATTAGCTTATAAACTAGTGAGCGGAGCAATATAGTCCCTATACAACAATATGATGCCCTATACAACTTCCACTGAGCTCTAAGTTCCTGTGGATCTATATTCCGAGCCTGGGTAATATTTCGCAATATTTGCTTTCACTTGGTAGATTAGAGGTCAGATCAGAGGTCATATATTATGTAAATGGTGCAGAAAACTCCCAATATTTGTCCGATTGAGACAAAATGTACGGAGTTTGTCCAGATAGACGTATGCGAAGTTTTGTTGAAATCGTATCAGATTTAGATATAGCTTCCATATATTTTCGTCTGATTTTATGTAAATGGTGCACCGAATAGCCTATGTTTATTCGATTTCAAGAAAATATATAATTTATTAACCCTAAAATGATTATAGAAAAGCGTTACAAACGGAAAGACATATCGTATAATAAATTAAACTTTGCATCCACATTTGGTTATTTATTGATTAGAACTGACAAAAAGGAGACCCGAATTACAGGCCCTCCGATTGGAAAACTACACAAGGAACTTAAACAAATAGAGATGTATACGAGAACTATTTTTTGAGGATATTTGAGCACAAGGGCCTATATTGAAAATTGGCTAGGAAGGGTATTATAGCAACCAAATACAGAATTTTTGCCTCTTCCGTTAAAAAAATACGCAAATACCTTCAATGAAGCGATATCAATACCAGAACCCATGTCGACCATTTTCAAAACGTGAACAAATACACCCGATTTTAACACCGAAATTCTAGGAGTAGCAGCTAAATTTAAAAGACCTTTCATTATTATTGCGACATCTTCCTCGACATATTTTGATTAGGAATATAATTAATATTTTTGACCAATAGTGGAGGGTATAAAATAAATTAAAAATAATATTATCACATATTATTAAAATCGAATCACGACCATAATTTTTTAATATTTTTTGTATATTTAGCTGTTTCTTCTGGTGTCAGATGAGTCACTCAGTCATACATCGTTTCAAAGTGG